ATTTCTTGTGACTCCATTTCTTTCAGAATCAATGGACCAAATCTCTCATGTTTAGCCTAGAGGGCCTTATTTTCGGGGGATGCCTTATATTTCACTCAGAAGGAAACCTGTAAGTAGGTCTTATTTTTGGAGGATGTCTTATTTTTGGGGAAACCCGGTATCTGCCTCCTTTCTCCAGCACACCCTTCTGGTTTGGAAACATTTCCTAGAGTTATACAAACTATCAGGATGAGTTCATCTACAAAAGCAGGTTTTAAATTTTTGGATCTCAGGGCTCCTCTACACATTCTTAAAAGCTATTGAAGATCCCAAAGAACTTTTATTTATATGGTTTATAACTATCAATACTTACCATTTTAGAATTTAAAACTGAAAAGCTTTTAAACTCCAGAATACACAAGTACAGAATCTATAAATTGTCAGTGATGACATCATATATATAATACAGCCTCTGAAAATTTTCACTGTGAGCTCAGGAGAAAATTAAAGTTTTACAAAGCCAAATATGTCTTAGCACTGTTATAAAAACTATCCTTGAGGGTCCCCTGAAAGTCTCAGGGACCCACAGGAATCCTGAGACCACCCAATCATTTCAACCTATGTAGAAACTCCTACCGGTAAGTCTTTCTCTTTAGCCTGACCCTTTCCTTCCTGAAATATCACTTAAAGTTATGTATCTTTAAAAAAAAATCCTAGGCTTGCCAAAACCGGTTTGGCTCAATGGATAGAGCATCAGCTTGGGGACTGAAGTGTCCCGGGTTCGGTCAAGGGCATGTACCTTGGTTGCGGCATATCCCAAGCAGGGGGTGTGCAAGAGGCAGCTGAACGATGACACTCTCTCATCGATGTTTCTAATTCTCTATCTCTCTCCCTTCCTCTCTGTACAAAATCAATAAAATATATTTTAAGAAGTCCTAGGCTCTTCCCTTTCCTTCTTTACCCTCATTCAATAGTCATCAAACTACTGATTCTACTTTTAAAATCTAGTGGAATTTGAGAAGTTGTTAGATAAATGCAAACCTCCACCCCAGATCTATAGACATAAGAACATTTGGTAATTCACTTGCACATTAACTTCTGAGAGGCATCGGCTGGATGGTGATAGCATCAATAACCAAAAGTGAGAGCATCTGAAGGAGAAGAATGTCCAAAAGGCAAACTTAAGAACACTAAATTAGAATTCCTCCCACTTGAAGTTTTCCTCCTAATATTAAGCCATGGAGGTTTGGAGTTTTGTAAAGGCAAAGTATTCAAACTGAGGTTTTGCTTCCTTCCTTCCAGGTTTTGCTTCCTATTCCCTTCACATTGCCACCTGGAGAGGGCTTCTCCATCTCTAATTTGTCTTTTTCCTCCCTGCTTCAAGGGCTCTCCATCACCCAGATAAAAACCTAAATTCCTTCTTATGAAATAAATGGCCTTTCACACCCTGACCCCTGCCTATCTTTCACCCTTCTTGAACATCCTCTCTATACCAGAAGTTTGCAAACCAACTGAATCACCTCTGCAGCATGGTATTTTTCTAAGCTCCTCAGGGGATCTAAAGTCCAGCTGGGGTTGAGAATCACTGCCCTATGCCATGAACAAAACTACCTGCCAAACTTCTATGCAAAAGCATGAAAATCTCTCTTCCTGTCTTCTCACACTTTGCCTTTAACCTCTGGAATGAATTCACAGCCTTTCCTAACAACTATCATCTCTTCTTTGAAGGAAGATCTCTCGTCTCTTTTTTCCCCCTCCTCTCCCTTGCAGGCAGATCGGATTAAGGGTTTCTTACTCTTTGACCCTATAGCACCTTGTGCTTACATCTATTACAGCAGCCCACAATGTTTATAAAACAAACTGTCGTCTTGTGAAGGCAGAGACAATACACTATTCATTTTATATTCTCTGTGCTTAGCGCAGAGGTTAGAAGATAACAGATAAGTAATAAATGTTTAATGAAAATACAGTAAATTTTTGGAGCCTTTGAATAGACCTTGATTTACTAGTATGTATAATAAAGCAACACCTTCCTTACTACCTGACGATTTCATTAACTAAAGGGAAAATTTGCCCTAACTGGTTTGGCTCAGTGGATAGAGCATCGGCCTATGGACTCAAGGGTCCCAGGTTTGATTCCTGTCAAAGGACATGTATCTTGATAGCGGACACATCCCCAGTAGGGCGTGTGCAGGAGGCAGCTGATCCATGTTTCTCTCTCATCTGATGTTTCTAATTCTTTATTCCTCCCCCTTCCTCTCTGTAAAAAAATCAATAAAATATATATATATATATATATATATATATATATATATATATATATATATATTTTTTTTTTTTTTTTTTTTTTTTAAAAGGGAAAACCTTTTATGGTCTATAATTCTACATTTAGAAATAAAAGGCAAATTCATATATGAAATGATTCATATTATTAACTGAAATGAAAATTTTCAGTTGAAGTAGATTCAATCACCCTAAGAGTAAATATTAGATGCTTTTCAGTTTTAATTGTAAAAGGATAGAAGAAAACAGGAGGTTTGCAAGTATCTGAAGAGAGTAGGGAAAACTAAGAGTCTTGATAAATACTAAAAGGAATTCAACAGGTAACGTCTAATTGATGAAATAGAAAGTGGAGTGTGGAAAGGTTGGGTAGCCAGAGTAGAGTCCTTCCTGTCTGGCCATGAGGAAGGAGGTGGGGTGGAGAGGGCCAGAGGTCTTCAGCCTGCTGTCTGCCCCATGCCAAGTCTCTACAGTGGGGTCTCTTGGTCAAAACCCTACCCACTCATATGAAGATCACAGCTGCCCTTTCTTTTAGGGGAGAGGCCTGCAGAGGGAGCTCATGCAAAATGTTTCATTTTTAAAAATTAAATCTGATTGAATCTGTACTTTTATCATTAAAAAGTAATAAATAAATTTTTAGCACTATTTGTTCATAAAAACAAAAACTATTATTTGGAAATGAATTACCAAAAGAATAAATAACATCAGAAGACAATGAAATACTACATAAACTCTACTACTGTACTAGGAAAAAAAGTACTTCTGCAATTTAATGTTTACTCCTAACAACTTAACTTAATGTCCTATGAATATCTGAATCTTGATTTATATGAAATTTTACCCAAGGGAATTAATTAAGGTATGTATTATAGAAATAAAACCTGGCAATCATTTTCCAGATATGTAGCTTCTTACAATGGAAAGACAAAAACAAATTTTTTTTTTTTGCTTCTTTAAGTCTTAAGGAAAATGTATAAATCTGCAGTCATTTCTAAAATATTGCGCCACCTAACTTAATCATTAATTTTCTAAAACTTCCAGATATGGAACACAGAACAGCAAAAGTTAAGAGTTAAGATTTTCTATTGCTGTCCCTACTGTCAAAATTTCTATATAAATAAAGCTCAGTATATCCAATGTTGAACCAAATTCTATTTCACTGCAAATGTCATGATGGTCTTTAAAAAACAGTAACAAATCAATATTTTAAATAAAAAATATAGACAAAAGTGATCCTTGGAAGTCTTTAAAGAGCGGTATTTTCTTATAACTGCTTTTGAAGGAATTAAATACTTCATCTATAAAGAACATAGAAATATTTTTTTTAGGTGATCTAACTTTTTACTATGTTTTACTATTTAAAAAATAAAGAAGACCAGATTTGGTGAATAGAAAAGGAAAATATCTAAAATCATTTTATTGCTCTTTCTAAGATAAAAGCCTTTGAAAGAGGAGGCATGTGAGATTACTAAAAGACCAAAATCTGGAAATGTCAAGAAATATTTCAAAGTCTAGGACATATAAAATGAAAACATTCTTGATATAATTTTTGAAAAACTACTTTTGTCTAGATCTAAACCTACTATTTTTAAATGCTCAGTATAAGTGTGTTAATGTTAAAAAAAAAAAAAAAAAAAAAAAAAAAAAAAAAAAAAAAAAAGGCTGAACTGTGACAATCTGGTCCTACAGGGGCTACTAACGCTTACCTCAAGGGAACCTACTGCAGATAAAGTCCCGTCACTTGCACAGTCCTTTCAGCTGCCTGCCAGTTGTCTCTGTGGAAGGGAAAGCCTGATGAGTGAGAGCCCTATGCCACACTCCTTTGGAGTGTCAGGGTGCCTGCACAGAACTGTCTACCTAGAGATCCCTAGATGCTTTCCTTAATACAGGGTTTAAAAGAGGCCACCTTTGGTACTGCCTTTCCATTGAACACCAACACTGAATAGCTAAGGGTTTCTGAGTGTTAACATCTTTTTGGTATTATCAAGGTGATATATCTACACTAACCCAAATAGAAAAAAGACTAAAATGGATCATATAGAGATAAGTTAACATTGACAGGGAAAACATACACACAGACACACACACAAATATACTGAAAAGTAAGTAACAGTATTCTGTAATCTGAGAAGAGACAGTATTTATTATAGGCTATATTCACAAAAACTGAAGTTGCAGCATCAACAAGTAAATGCTAAAATTCAAAGCAATTCCTATCTATACATTTTTAAAAGATGCCATCAAGTATATCATGCTTAATGTGAACATGGATCAAAATGACTACTTACAAAATCCAATGTATTTTCTTAGTGGGGTCAGTAAGTGGTGGTAGGAGAGGACATTTTTCAGATATTTTTAAGTAAGAAAAGGGAAAACCAAGAGCATGAAATTCCAAAAGAAATTTTAAAAAGAGGAAAAAAGCCCTTATATCTGCATCTTAGAAAGTAAATAAACCCTTACGCAGAGCCAAACTAAGAGGAAAGTATAATAAGAAATAGAAAACGGTGAAGCAATGAATTTCAAAAACCACCTTCAACTCCTAAAATTAGGAACGGCTAGAAACTATCTTCTATTAAGCACAACTATACCACAAGTTCAGCTCCATAAACAAAGAAACTATATTGTCTTTCTAATGTCAAATACAGTCTTCAGTCTGAATGCTGTGCTTAAGGTAGAATAAAATGCTCCTACAAAAATTTAAAAAGCATTAATATTAACATATTTAAAATGAAGTTACTTACCTCTGATTCTTTGTCACTTAAAGATCCCAAGCTTCCAAAACTGTGATTTGAGCTTTCATTATTTGTTGAAGCCTGTTAAGAGATTTTTAAAAGGGTAAAACTTAGGAGTAATTTTAAATGAAACAAATTACACAAATATATCTTCATAAATTAAAATAAAGTATGATTCCTTTAAATAAGGATGTCAAATTAAGTAAATATAAGAAATGTCAACCTGTTAACACTATAAATATCTTGGAAAGTATTACCAAATCAATAAAGTTCTGCTGTATTTTAAGGACAGACTCATTACTTGCGTTTTTAGAATATCAAATTCAGGAGGCAAAGGAAATGGGCTATTGTTAGATAACAAGATCCCTAAAACTACTATTCAATAAATAAAATCTAATGCTTCCTTAAGTATTATTTGTGTTCCTTCTCTTCACAATCTTAGCAAATTCCATCATATCCCTTCCACGTCCATTTGCTTCTTTTCATATTAACAAACTAGGCAATCTTTGGTTTGTTTCTGGCTTAGTGTTTTAAGATTTTTTTTTTAAATCATTTTGACCATTCTAATTGCTTCACAAGAATTTCCACATTTCCTTTACAATATTTTAAATTGTGACAATCAGAAATAAGTTATTATTTTGCAGGATGATGTTTGCTATGTTTCCATTATGCTTATTGTTTTGTGGACTTGTTTGGACCAACAATACATTAAATCAATGTCTTCCAGAAATAATTATAGACCAGGGGATGCAGGCATGCCAAAGATGACACATGAATAAACTTCATGTGAAAGCAGGTCAACTGGTATCCTTATTTCCCTTCAAATTGTAAGAGTAGCCGTTAATTCTACCGTTAAAAGGCTACAAGTTCGACTACCATTCAACTACTTTCAAAACTGGTGACTCTGAGCTATTGCATACATGTTTAGTACTATGAAGGAACTATAAAGCCCATTTTCAACACAAACAACATGCAAATCAATTAAGATTCAAACACTATTTAAAGGAAGTTAAAATCTAATTAGACCAAGATGATCAAACTTTAAACAAAGAACACCGTAAACAACAATTAAGAAGTGATAAATTATAAAGATTCAGGGACAATGTTTTTCATTATCCCTAAAGCTCCACATAAAAATACCTTATACACCCCAAACTCACACATAACATTTACAACAAAACTGGGTGACTAGAAATCTCCCCAAAATAGCAGATGGGAACAGATTACCAACAACCAAAGCACCTGCATGGTATGAGAAGAAGCAAAAGGAAATAGGGTGTTGAACAGATTTGACAACAGAGTCTCCCAAAACAGCAAATGCAACTGACCAGTAAGTCAATTTGAGTACAGAAGCTATATCTGGAAGGGTTTCTGCCCTTTCCAGTAGTGACTAAGTGCAAGGAGTCCATGGTGAAGTCTGAGAAGTTAAAGCAACTTAGGCCCTATGAACTCCTGAAACTAATCCCTCACTAAGGGTGTCACATTAAGTATAAACTACTGAGTGTGGAAATAAAACTAAACCCAACAGAGAAGATGAAGATACAGAAAAAAGAATATAAACATAACAAATGGGGAAGGAAGCAAAGCCTACAAATCTCAGAAATTACTTTTGAAGAGTACCCAAACACAACAGCAGAGGGAGCTCTATAAGAAAAGCCATTCTAAACAAACAAACAAAAAAAGGTAAGCATCAGAAAATGATGTAGGTCAGCCCATAATTATATAAGAAAAAAGACAGTAAGATATAGACTACTGTCCTGATAATAAAAGTGTACCAGAAACATACACATTTCACAAAATAGGCGAAAACTGTAACCTAATATTTTGAAATGAGCTAAAAGACATTACTAAAATGACTCAAGACATGAAAGAACATAAATCAGATTTCAAAAAAACTCAGAAATAAGGTAACAGAACTTAGGAAGCATCAGAAATTGGGGAAAAATGGGTTCAATAATGAAGATTAAGTCTAAATGAAACCAAGAGAAAATAAATACAACAGATAATGATTTAAGAGAACTAGGAGGTAAAAAAAAGAAGGAACACTTCTGAAATCAAAAGAAATGAAGAGATAAAAAGAATGAGAAAGCAACAACAATTGAAGCAACAAAGATCCAACATTCAGGTAATAGAAGGCTTTAAAGAGCACCATGAGAAGAAAACAAATAGTAGAAACCATAGTTCAGGAAATCCTTGAAAAATTGAAACTACCACCTGAAAGAACACAATATGCACCTCAGAATGTTTGATTTTTCAAAGGCAGCGCTTTATGCCAGAAGAAAATGAAGTAATACATTAAGATATCCAAGTAAATGTGAATAAGGTGTTCTATATCCAGTAAAAGTGATTTTTAATATATAAAAGGCATACTTATCAAAATGTCAGAAATCAGAGCGTTTCAAAAGAATCCAGAGACAACTTCACACCACCAAAATGAAGATTCACCATAAAAACTGATACAATCAATATTATTACTTACTGATAAAGGTTAAATAAAAAATACACGGACAAAACTATAAAATTTAATAGCTAATGCATGCAAAGTTATTAATTGTACAATATTTAAAAATTGGAGGATGGAATTTTATGAGAAGCACAAGTGAAAAAACTCTGAATTGTTTCCAGTAACCATTTTGGCAACTGTGATAATACAAGTATAGATGCTTTGAAATTGCTGTGTGTATAGGGAAAAAGTAAATAGTTAAGTGATATTCTATCATATGGTTTACATCCTTGAAAACTACAATTCCTTTTTAAAAAAAATATATGTTATTGATTTTTTTTTTTTTTACAGAGAGGAAGGGAGAGGGATAGAGAGTTAGAAACATCAATGGGAGAGAAACATCGATCAGCTGCTTCCTGTACACCACCCTCTGCTGGGGATGTGCCCGCAAACAAGGTGCATGCCCTTGACCAGAACTGAACCTGGAACCCTTCAGTCATCAGGCCGACACTCTATCCACTGAGCCAAACCAGTCAGGGCAAGAACTACAATTCTTTTTTTTTTTTTTTTAATACTACAATTTTTAAAAAATATATATTTTATTGATTTTTTACAGAGAGAAAGAGAGGAATAGAGAGTTAGAAACATTCATGAGAAAGAATCATCGATCAGCTGCCTCTTGCACACCCCCTACCAGGAACGTGCCCGCAACCAAGGAACATGCCCTTGACCGGAATTAAACCTGGGACCTTTCAGTCCGCAGGCCGACGCTCTATCCACTGAGCCAAACCGGTTTTGGCATACAATTCTTGACATAGAAGTAAAATGATGCGATATAAATAAAAACCTTGTAGTTCTGATTTAAATTGGAAGTATCAATATAAATTCATGAGATATTTTTACCTTTTAAAACATATTTTTAAAAATACAGATTCTGCCACAGGGAGGAACAGAATACCTCTTATTAGACCAATGTTCCCTTGGATAACCATAAATTCTGGAAAAATATACAAAACACAACTACCTGAAAGCACGTGAGCAACCAAGAGTAGACAGAATCTGGGTAGGAGACATTTGGAAGAAGGGAATAGAAGGTAGCTTTCCTACACTTACGGTTTTTGCTTCAAGGCCCCTAGTGTGAGCTGCAGAGCAGTTGAAATCACAGGAAATCCTACTGGCTTCAAAAACCAGGGTTAAACTACTACAGCAGCTAGAAAATAAAGCACCAAAGACAAAGTAGCAAATTCTGCATATTATTTCTATCCATGTCTCTAGCTGGTCACTCATCTATGTAAGAGTGGAACAGACTCTAAGCAGTCCAGATAAGGCTAAAACAACTGAACATAGATGTTAGCTGCCATTCCCTATAGGGAGACATAGCGTAGATTTCAGTCGAGCCAAGTTAATTCTTGCCTAATACAAATAATATCACCAAAAAAAATTAATACTCAACAGAACACTAAACCAAATCCCAAAGTCACTCTAATGTATCATTCACAGTGTGCATGATATAAACAAAATTTCTAAACTTACGAAGAAACAAGAAAAGGTGACCCATACTCAAATATATTCTCTAAAATTAAAAAAAAAAAAAATCACTGGATAGGCTTGACATCAGAATGGAGAAGAAAGTACTGAAAACCAAAGGAAGAGAGAAAAATTATTGAAAAGCAGTTGCTGGAAACTATACATGTATTTGAGATCACAGAAGTAAAGAAAAAGGCGCAGAAAAAATATTTGAAGAATAGCCAGAAAATCCCAAAAATTTGGTGGAAGGTATAAATTTAAAGATTCAAAAAGGTCACAGATAACTCCAAGCAGAATAAATACAAAGAAAATCATACTTATTAATCTTCTCAAAGAACCAACCTTGTTGCATTAATTTTTCTATTATATTTTTGTTTTCTACTATAGGATCCTCCCCCCAAAAAAAGGTATACACACTTTGAATAATTAATTCCAATGGGTTAAACTTGAAAAGAAAGAAACATCAATTGAGCTATCAAAAAAAAGGGGGTAGCCCTGGCTGGTATGATGCAGTGGTTAGAGGGTCAGCCAAGCACTGAAGGGTCAAGGGCATATACCTGGTTGCAGTTTCTATCTCAGCCCCATTGGGGTGTGTGTAGGAGGCAACTGATCAATGTGTGTCTCTCACATTGATGTTTCTCTCTCTCTCACCCCATGCCCCTTCCAATCTTTCTGAAAACCTATGGAAAAAATATCCTGGGTGAGGATTAACAAACCATTATTTTGAAAAGTGTGCATACAATCTTTGGGGGGACACTATTTTGTTTAATTGTGCTCTAATTTTAATAATTCCTTCCTTCTACTGACTGGGGCCTCATTTGTTCTTCTAGTTCTTTTAGGTGAATCATTAGGTTGTCTATTTGAGATTTTTCTTGTTTCTTGAGATAGGCCTGTAATGATATAAATTTCCATCTTGTTACCACTTTTGCTGCATCCCAGAAGTTTTAATATCATACTCTCATTCTCATTTTTCTCTTTGAATCTTTTGACATTTTTAAAACTTCTTTGACCCCATCGAATAATGAGCCTGTATTTCCTGCTTTATTTTTTGCAGATAACTTCCAATTTCAAAAAATTGAGTTTGGAGAATATATAGTATATCACTTTTCTTAAATTTGTTGAGGCTAGTTCTGTGTCCCAACATATGGTCAGTCCTTAGAAGGGAACATGTGCAATAGAGAATAATATATAATCTGATCTCTGGGATGAATGGCTCTGTAAATGCTGATTATATCCTTTTGGTCTAAAATGTGTCCTTTAAGGCCTTACTGATTTTCGGTCAGAATGATCTAGCTATATTTGTCAATGGGGTATTTAGGTCCCCCACTATAATTGTGTCTCTCTCAGTTTCTCCCTTTAGTTCTGTGTAGTTGCTTTATATATTTTAATGCTGATAAGTGTTACATCTTCTTAATGTATTATTATTATATTATAAAGTATCGAATTCTACCTCTTAACTTTTTTTAAAAAATTATTCAATGATGAGAGAGATCATATACCCTGATTGGGAATTGAATTGTGACCTCCTCCTGTAGTAAGATTTCTGGTCAACACTCAACCACTGAGCTATACCTGTCAGACTGGGTTTTGTTTTTCATCCAATCACTACTCTACTTTTTTATTGGTGAATTATTGATGTAGGGTGATTATTGATGTATGAGGATTTCCTATAGCCATTTTTCTATTTGTTTCTCATAACTCTGTGTTTTCATTGTTCCTTTTCCCTTGTGTTTCCAACTGTTATTTTAGTTTGGTGGTATTCTATGATTTTTTTCCTTTGTTTCCCCCTTTTTTGTCGTGTATCTCAGTTCTAGAATTTTTTTTGTGTGTGGTTATCTCTAGGGTTTATGTAAAATAAAGTTCCATACCCAGGTAACATTACAGGCAAACTACTGAAAACCAAAGATACAGAAAAAAATCTTAGTACAATGAGATATCATCGCCTTATACCTTTCCGAGTGGCTATTATATATACACTGAGTGGCCAGATTATTATGATCTCTGAATGCATAATAATCTGGCCACTCAGTGTGTGTGTGTGTGTGTGTGTGTGTATCTATGAGGCCCAGTGCATGAATTCTGCATGGGTGGGGTCTGGCCAGCCTGGCCAGGGGGAGGGACATGGGTGGTTGGCCGGCCTGCCTGCTGGTCGAACTCCTGGTTGAGGGGACAATTTGCATATTAGCCTTTTATTATATAAGATATACACTTGTATCCAGAGATCATAATAATCTGGCCACTCAGTACACACACACACACACACACACACACACACACACACAAAACCCCCAAAAAGACACAACACAAACAAAAAAAAACCCCAACACACAAAAAAAACAAGGAATAACAAATACTAACAAGGATTAGAGAAAAGGAAACCTTTGTGCACTATTAGTGGGATTATAAATTAGGGCAGCTATTAGGAAAAGCAGTAAGGAGGTTCCTAAAAATATTAAAACTAGGACTACCACATGACCCAGCAATTCCACTTCTGGGTATTTATCCAAAGAAAACAAAAACACTAACTTGAAAAGGTATGTGCATCCCTGTATTCACTATTTACAATAACCAAAACGTGAAAGCAATCTATACCCATGAATGGGTAGAGAAAATATGATGTGATATATATATATACACACACACACACACACACACACACACACACACACACACACAATGGAATATTATTCAGACATTGAAAAGAAAAAAATCTTGTTCTCTGTGACATTTACGTACCTTGAGAGCATTATGCTCAGTGAAATACATCAGATAGAGAAAGACAAAAAGACTGCATGAGTTCACTTACATGTAGAATCCAAAACCAAAACTGAACTTATAGATACAGAGAATAAATTGGTGACTGCCAAAGTTAGAAAGTTGGGGATGGAAAAGGGGCCAAAGGATATAAACTTCCAGTTATGGGGATATAATGTACAGGCATGGTGACTATCCTATCAAATAAAAGAGTAATATGCAAGTTGATCATCACTCCAAGGCACAAGATGGCCGCCCCAAAGAAACAATAAATGTGGACACATTTCATGTACTTGAATGGGACAAGCTAAACTTATAAAAATTCAATACTCTCCAAATTAATCTATAAATTCAATGCATCCATGATAAAAATTCCATTTAAATAATTTAAGAAAAAAGATACAAAGAAGCTATTATAGAAAAAGAATCCCCAAATGCTAACAAGCAAAGGAAGAGATGCTCAATTTTATGAAGAAATGAAGATCTATAAACTAAATCAACTTTACAAAAGTGTGTGTGTGTGTGTGTGTGTGTGTGTGTGTGTGTAATGTGATATTAGTACTAGAAAACAGACAGACCACTGGAACATTAGAGAAATTTTAGAGACAGGTTGGTATATATACAGGCTGGCAGGGGAGTGGTTAGGAACAATCAGGCAGGCAGGCAGCCAAGCAGTTGGGAGCCAGCAATCCACTGGGATGGGGCCTAAATGGACAGTTGGACATCCTTCTAGGGATCCCAGATTGGAGAGGGTGCAGGCTGTGCTGAGAGACATCCCCTTCCCCCGTGCACAAATTTCATGCACTGGACCAACCTCTAGTTATACCATAATGCCCCTGGAATATGTTATGCTCTATTATAAATCTGTTCATAAACACTGAATTTTTTTTCTATACATTATAAAAATTATAGTAAGGAACTAGAGGCCCATATTCATGCATGGGTAGGGTCCTTAGGCCTGGCCAGCAATCAGAACCAATCAAGGTCTTTCTTCCCTCTGATGCTGGCTGCCAGTAGGACCTTCTTTCACTCCGTGTTGCCCCCTGATGGTCAGTGCTCGTCATAATGAGAGGTTGACCTCCTGGTCTATCAAACTCCGAAGGGGATAATTTGCATATTAGCCTTTTATTATATAGGATATTTTTCTGTTAAGCATAAAATATATTTTAGACCACTTAATACAAGGAAAGATTGTCAAATGCAGATTATAATTTCACTCACTTTAGCTCCAACACTGCAACTCCCAGTGCTCCCAGTGCTCCCAGTTGCAACTCCTGTAAATCTAGCTTCCAATAATTCTTGCCTTCTTGGATCCAGACTATGGAGCTCATCCATTGCACCTAATAAGAAAATAAAATACACACACAATATATACATATATCTTTAAGTATAAACACAAAAAACTTATGTGTTTAGTTGATATGTCACTAAACTTAATGAATTCTACAAAGAGATGAAAGAGACCTTATAATGTCCACTGTCATTTATCAAAAAATCTACAGTGGATTTCAAACATTTCTATCGATAATTGTAATCCACATTACAAAATATATTTTCCACCTAACCCAGTATACAGATACATACATACATATAAAAAATTCCACAAATACTTCTTACTACAGTGTGCATCAATATTTTCTAGTCTATTCCAGTCTATTAAAAGAAAAAAAAACAACAACTGGCTGTGAGCTATTAAATTGATTTCATGAAACTTTTGTATAGTTGATAGTTTTGAATGTTTTCTATCAGGTAGATGAAAAACAAACATAAACAGATCAATACGATAACATCTGTTATTAAACAAGAGATGAAGGAGAGAAATTAACACGCTCATATAATTGCTACTAAGCAGACCAAGGCATCACAAATTTTACCTAAAGTTCAATTAAACTCTTAAAAAGTTCTTTTATCCATACTTGCTAATTCTCTGCTGACATAAATGAGTGGTTCTCAAAGGGAGCAAGAAGGTTATTATTACCCGAATCCAGAATCACATGTGGAACATTTTCAAATGATACTATGGTCCTTCCACATACCCTGACAATCCTCTACTAAATATTAATAATTATTCCTATAAACCTTATTTAAAGTTCCTTTCATTCCTTTCTTCTTCATTTGGGCAGGTAACTAGATGGACAATGACCATGCTCCCCATTTATTTGCTTCCTTATATCTGAATATCTTCCCTGTACACTTCTTTTTCCATCTCAAATGGGTAACTGACTTAAAAAAATTCAAGCCTTCAATTTTTGCTTTTGATTCCATTCCTTCTTTATATCCAAGGGATCTTGCATGTGTCTGAATCCCAACTCGTGCATCTTTTCCCTCTTTGCCTCTTTAGGCCTTCATTTATATGTCTTAAAAACACACACAAAAAAAACACGAAACGCTTGCTTGCCTTGCCAATGTGGCTCAGTGGTTGAGCGCTGACCTATGAACAGGAGGTCACCATTCAATTCCCAGCAGGGCACATTAGGAGGTGTGCAAGAGGTAGCTGATAGATGATTCTTATCACTGATAATTCTTTCTTTCCCTCCTTCCTTCCCTTATTTAATATATATATTAAATAGAAACACACAAAAAAACTACTTTCTTTGGAATTCCATGCTATTAATATAATCTTTTCATAAGTTGGTGATTTATAACCATAACCACTTTAGGTCTCTAGAATCTGATTTCTAATATAAGTATACTTCTGACAAAGTACTTTCACATACCGGCAATGCTTCCATTTTTTTCTTATCCTGCGGTTTTATCAGAAATTGTGTACTATTCCTTTTTTGGGGGGGGGGGGGCGGAGGGGGAAGGAGCAGGGGAAGGGAGGATGATTAAAAAAAAAAAAAAAAAACACCTCTCAATCCTTGGTTTTTAAAATACACAATTCTAGTTTTCAGAATTCAACCAAATCTTTTCTGCTTCTCTGCTTGGTCTCTGTTAGCTATGAATATTCTTAAGGGCCAATTCAGGGCAGTCTGCTCTCTTCATATCCCCTCGTATTTTAAACTGATGATTCTCAAATAAAACACCTATTATATGATAAGTTAGTCAAGTCTTAAAGTTGGCACTGGAAATAAAGCAGTAGTAAAACAGACTAACCTCAACTCATAGAGCTTACAACTCAGAGATTTTGATATCAATTCTACCCTGCCACAAGATTATTTTGAAAACATTAAATTACATTTAAAAAATAATTACAGTAATATAGTCACTATAAATATTCTTGCACAATTACTTTTATAAACAAATGTTTCATTTTAATACCAATGAGTAGGATGTTGTATATGAACTATGTAAGAAACTGCTAAAAGTTTCCAAAGTGGTTATACTATTTTACACTCCTATGTGATTACCAATATTTGATGTTGACTTTTTAAAATCTTTATTTTAGCAGAGTGAAGTGCTACTCAGCTTTTACTTTGATTTGCATTACCCTGATTACTAATGACATTAGTACCTTTTCATGATTTTATTGGCAATTTGTATATATCTTTATTGTTGATATTAAGAATATTGTCAAGTCCTCTGCCCAATTTTTTATTAGATTGTTATTTATATGTGGGAATTACTTATGTATTCTAGTTATAAGTCATTGTCAGATTATTAATAGATAAGTAGGTAGAAAAACAATTTCTCTAGGTCTCTAATATTTTTCCATTTTCTTTATGCTGTTTTGACAAGAAGTGTATTATTTTGGTGAAATAAAGATTATCTAATTTTTTATTTTGATTATTATTTTTCTATTCTAAGAAAATTTTGCATGACCCAAAGTAAAAAAATAGCATCTTTATTGTAAGTTTTGTTTTTCTGTTGAGGTCCACAATTCATCCTAAATTAACATTTGTATATGGTATGAGGTTAAGGATTTTTCCCCATGTATTTTTCCTATTTTATTACCATCATTCATTAAAAAAAACAAATAAAAACAAAACAAAATTCTACTATACAATAAATAGTCTTTGGTGATTCTGTCAGGTCAAAAATAATAACAAGTATATATATATGTTGCTGGTATGAAGACAGACATATAAACCAATGGAATAAAATAGAGAGCCCAGAAATAAACCCTCAAATATATGATCAAATGACTTTCAACAAGTGTGTAAAGACCATTCAATGGGAAAAGAACATCAACAAATTTTATTGGGAAAACTGGATATCCACTTACAAAAATATTAAGTTGGACCCTTATCTTAACACCATATATAAAAATTAACTCAAGCTCTGCCTGGTTTGGCTCAGTGAATAGAGCACTGACCAGAGGACTGAAGGGTCCCAGGTTCAGTTCCGGTCCAGGGCACATATCTTGGTTGCAGGCTGGATTCCCAGCCTTGGCTGGGTGTGTGTAGGAGGCAACCAATCAATGTGTCTCTTTCACATGTTTCTCTCTGTGTCTCTCTTCCTCTCCCTTCTACTCTGTCTAAAAATTAATGGAAATTTAAATAATTTCCATTCAGGTGAGGATTAACCATGCAAATTGACCATATAGATATGATATGCAAATTGACCATCACTCCAACAGGCAATAAAAGAAAAAATAGGTAAGTTGGACTTCATAAAAATTAGAAACTTCTGTGCATCCAACACCACCAAGAAAGCAAAAAAGCAGCCCAAAAGATGGGTGAAAATATCTGCAAACCAATTATAAAGGATTGATATCTAGAATGTATAAAAACATCCTACAACTCAATAAGAAAAATAAAACCCAGTTTTAAAATGGGCAAAGGACCAACTAACACAGACATTTTTCCAAAAAAGATATGCAACTGACCAATGAACACATAAAAGGAGGCTCAATATCATTAATCATTAGGGCAATGCATATCAATACTACACTAAGATACCACTTAACAACCATTAGGATGGGTGTTAGCTAGGATGTGGGGAAATTTGCACCCGTGTACACTGCTGGAATGTAAACTGGTGCAGTCACATGAAACATTGTATGGCAGCTTCTCAAAAAATAACAAAATTACCATATGACTTTTTATACTCAAAGTCCACTTATGAGTATAAATCTAGAAGTGAAAGCAAGGACTAAAATAAATATTTGTACATCTCATGTTGATAACAGCATTATTCACAATAGCCAAAAAGGTGAAAGCAACTTAATTGTCCACAATGGATAAATATAGATAAAATGTGGTATATACACAAAATGGAATATTAGCCAGTGTTTAAAAATGAAGGAAATTTTGAAACACAGATAACTTTGAAGATAGTAGTCTAAGTGAAATAAGCCAGACAAAAAAGTACTGTCTGATTCCACTTAAATGAATATAAGGTTCCTAGAGTACTCCAATTCACAGAGACTAAAAGTACAATGATGGCTGACAGAGACTGAGGGGCATGGTGGAATGGAAAGTTAGTGTCTAATGGATAGTTTCAGTTGGGAAAGACAGAAGTTTTGGAGATAGATGTTGGTAATGGTAGTACAACCGGACCATATATCTAAAATTAGTTAACATGGTAAATTTTGTATTATGTATATTTTACCACATTCTTAAAAATAATTTTGAAAGAAAAAAACTGGACTTCATAAAAACTTTACCTCTGCTAGTTCAAAAGACATGGTTATAAAAATTAAAACAGAAACAAGAGACTGGGAAAGCAATGTTTCAAAATATGTATGTGCTACATTGCTATATACTATGTCCACTCCTTGGCTTGGTAATTGATTGATGGTCCACTGAAACTTAGTAGAGAAGATGGGGACATCTCATCAATCCTTATTTTGACCTGGATCAGCTTATAATGTAGTATTTTGTTTCCCATCGTTTTTATCTTAGATGTATAGCTTCCTCTAGGACTTCCTTCTCCCCTATGAGGTCCCAGGCCAAAAAAAAAAAAAAAAAAAGCAGTGTTTCTAACTGAAAACTCTTACTAGAGTTTCCAATCTCACTTTAGTCCTTAAAACCTTCTAACAGTTTTTAATGAGATTTTAAAGAGACAATATATGCAAGATTCCCTAGTATAACCCCTAGCACATAATAGATGCTTAACAAGTATTAGTGTTCCTGTCTCAAAAACTTTAACTTTGAATATACTGAAGTCTGCTTCTCTAGATGTAGTCCCATCTTGTTATCACTCAGATGCTTATAAGGAATACAAAATTGTGGGTCCCACCTCAGGCCTATCAAATGAGAATCTGCATTTTAACCACATCCTCAGTAATTACTATGTGCATTCATGTTAGAGAAGCACAAACTTTTTTGTAAAGGACCAGATCATACCGTATTTTCTGGTGTATAAGACGACTTTTGAACCGAAAAAGTCAACCGAAAAATCGGGTGTGTGTGTGTGTGTGTGTGTGTGTGTGTGTGTGTGTGTGTGTGTCGTCTTT